AATTTGGTCCTCATGTGTTCTAATAAAAATAACTTAAATATATAAGAAAATTATTTTTTTAATTGAATACAACGTTTATATATTATATTAAACTAAGACAGTAAGTTATGATAATGATCTTCAATAAAAAAAAAAAAAGAAGATTCGTAGGAAACATGTTTATGTATTTTTTGTTAATTAATGAGAATTATCTAAAATTAGAAAAAAAAAAGTAGTTCAGTAATGTCAAATATATTTTAGCAGAATACTGAAGCTTATTGTTTCCAAGAAATTGATAACACTTTTTTCTCATTCTATTGACTTTGATAGAAATTTTAGTATATTAGGAACTAGTTTCCTGTGATTTTCAGATTATTTTTATTTTAAAAGATTGATTACTTCTGCTTTGTATCTATTCATTTCTATTTTTTTTAAATTATAATACTTTCTAGGATGTTATTTTTAGTTTTCATCGCACTGCTGTGGTAACGAAATAGATTATATGATATTTTATATAACATCATTAAAGCGACCGAGCTTCAATTCTAAGAGATATTTCAATCGAAAAAAAGGGATAGTAAAATAATAATATTTTAATTAGAACTTACAGATGTTGTTGTCTCTCGACTGTAATTCTTGTCAATTTACTTTGATGTTGATGTTAATTATATTGTATTTTTTAAGAACTATTTTGAGTGTAGCCAGATGGAGAAAAAAGCATATGTATATACATAGTAACGCTAAAATTTGATCATACACTTCATACAAAAATAGATGTAAATTTAACAAGATATAATTGCGCATCTAGCGATGTTGACATAGAAAGTTGTTCCCATTTACGGAAAAATACTACATCTCTCAGATAATGTCACACAAATCAAGGAGAAATAGAAAAAAATAACATAAATTTATATCTATCATTTTGCCTTCTTGTCCATAGATTTCTATTTCAATAGATGTAGTTTTTCTAGGATGGATTAATAACATGACTGTCATCTGCTTACAAGTTTTTGACATCTATTTGTGGAGATAGAGAAACATAAAGGATTTCTCAATGTATGTTTTTCATTTCTTTTGAAAAGCAATTCTATATCTGTAAAAATTTCACCTCAGGCTAAATGAGTAATGTGATTGCTGTCTGTTTACAAATTTTTGGCTTCTACTTGTCAAGAAAGACATGACTAAAGGATTCCTTCTGAAGTATTTTTCATTTCTTTTGAAAAAGATTCTATTTTCTCTTAAAGCTCTACCTTTGGCTAAATAAGTAATTTGATTTTAGTTCGTTTGCGAATTTTTGACTTTTACTTATCTAGAGAGCAATTATTGAACGACTTCTGGTTTGTTAAGATTTTATTTCCTGTTTTAATTGGATTTAAATAACCACTTTTATTTTAACCAGGAGCATTTCTCCTAGATTTTATAGAAGATGAATCATTTCTAGTGTAAGAAGAGCGATTTTCCCTCTTTTTCAGAGGGGGAGGGGAAGGGCGGTATCGTACTACTTTCGATTGCTAAATGGAAAAGCATTGTGTACAGTCTTTTGACGGTTTTTTTTCTCACTTTTAGAGTTAAAAATATTTACATATATTTTTCGATGAAATTTATGGTTCATTTCCAGTCTAATGACACCATTTTTAGTAGTTTTTTTAGCTCACCAAGTCTTTAGGAAATATTAGTGAAATATAATGTAAAGATGGACAATGAAATCATAAGCTATATTCTACCAAAAAACCGTTTATAACATATATATATATATAGAACGAGAAAGATCTCATACTTGATTATATTTGCTTGTCATAAAAAAAATACGTTTCACACACCACTCAGGTTAAACGATCAGATCTTTCATGATTATATCTCTGATCATGTACAATCTTTAAAGAATCAAACGAAAACGTACGATAAATCGTGTTCTTTGTAGAACTTACATCGAATCTTGACAAACGGTTGTTAGAAGAATTAATAGGTTCTTTCGAAAAAAATCCCGCAGATAACCTGATCTCGAAAGAATCGCATGCCAAGAAAAAGGAAATGATAGAATGTCATCTATTCTCCACAAACGCAGTATTTATTGAAAGGAAAAAGAAAAAGTCATGTGTTATTGTATTGCCCTAATGAATATAACTTCAGAAAATGTCAATTAAAAATAAAATATTTCTCTAGATTCAAAACAGAATACTATTATATACCTTGAAGAAACTCTTCATAGATTATAAATTTTCAGAAAATAAACTTCATTAAATTTATTATTAAATAATGCTCATAAGATAGTTAAATAATTATATAATCTTAGAAGTAAAGTTCCATATTATCATTTTATTCAAGTATATATGTGTTGACAGACAAACTTAATATTTATATTGACTCATTTGGTCAACTCTAGTTATAAAAAATATACTGTGAGAAAAATCATGTCAATCTCATCTCCATGTATCATCATTATTTTACTTTTATAAAAAGTTATTCATTATCCCTTTTTCTTTCATCAATCCTGACTTTCTTTGTTGTTACTTCGTATCTATAATTTTGCCTATTTTTCTACTTGCCTCCTACTGGTTGTTAGTGTTTCAAATTCGTCCTTAACATAAGTACGCGCATGATAACACACAATAAGTTACTAGAGGTACATAAACTAAGATTTATTTGCTTTAGATAAAAAAATTTAATATTGACTTCAGTACTTTTTTTAAATCGAATTGTAATAAAGTGAAGAAAAGAGTTACCATAAGGACTTGAACAAGACTTTCAAGATAACAATTTAAATAGAATAAACAATTTATTACAATATGAAGTGAAAGTATCAATTACGAAACTAAACTTATTTGTAAAAAGTCAAATTTTGTGACCTACATTGAAAAGTATGTTTCAGAAGAAAATTATGTCAACGATATTATTCATATGGTTTCGTTCTCTTTCTTGCTTTTTCTTAGATATTTTATCGATTGTTTTCTTTTAGTTTCTTCTTTACTGACTTTCTTGCTTTTATATGATAACTGATATATTGTCTAACTGTACTATGTTTCCTCCAGGTATATTCTATCGAACATCTGATATAGATAATTGTTGTTTCTATGTGAAAAAGATCTGTTTTACCGTTGCCAATTAACTTATTATACACAACAAGTTGTAACGGATCTAATCGTAAATAACTAAATTTCTTACCTTTTTTATTTTTGCTGGCAAGACAAGCTGTATTAAACGTTGCTGATTTCATGCAATGTTCTAGACCTTTAAAAACATATACAGAAGAAATAATCGACTATGTTGACGTTATGTCTCGTGCCAGAGACCATATTTAAACAAAAACAAGAAGAAATTTCATTAACATATATCATATCTGGATAATTACAAATCAAACTGGAAAATGACATATCTTCAGAAAGAAAGCTATTGTTTTGCGTATTGATATAATTCTATAATTTCATTCTTATATTACTCGCTTACTGAAAGACGTCAAGTAATCATCACAATATTAATCAAAACTAACGTCATCATCAAACCCACGTGATGATATACACATTTCATTCAAAGCAAGAATAAATATTTTCCTAGTATAAAAAAGTGTAGATATTCAAACTAAGGTTAACAATCATGTTCATCTATTTTCTTTTATATAATTTAATTTCTACAAAAGTATATTAAGACAGATCTCTCCTTAGTTGACCATACTTTTAATATGAACCATCAACAACAATCATTGTGATCATGAATTTTATGATATGATGTAAATACAAATCATAATATATGATGCAAAACTTATAGCATAAAATTTCGATCACGATATCTTTTTTAATATAATCTGTCTGGAATAAAGTTTATTTTTTTACCATTTGAAAGAAAATATTTTTCACTCTCAAATCATTTGTTATTAACTTATATATCATACTGATAAACAAAATGATATGAAAAGAAACAAAAAAGAATTACAAAATAAATGTGCATTTTTCTGTCAAATAAAAAAAATAAAAGTTAAATTCTTCTATATCCTCAATAAGCATGTTCAAAAAAAAAAATTTCTTTTCTAATAAATAAATTAATAGGAAAGTTTCAGCTCTATTCATGTATAAGAAAACATTGTAAGAGAAAAAAACTCTTACATAATAATTCCGAGGTTTCCATCAGGTCTCATCATCAACAGTTTCTAAAATGGTAACAGAGGCGTCTATCGCAGCTGTAAACATGTCACTGCCATATTGTGATGAACTATAAAAACAGCTGCCATAGCTGCAAAAGACATCTTTAGTATAACTGTCAATTATAATTAACTATTGTTTTGCAAGTTTGGTTTGACTCGTTCCTAAAAATTGAATCAACTGTTGCCAAAGAAGAATCTTTTTTACGAGTTTACAAAAACTAAATTAACTATCGTCTGGAGAATCTTTCCTGTACAGCCATATACAAATGTCTTTCTGTCTTCTCCTATTGATTTGTTTATAAGTACGTGCCAAAAACAAATCATATATATATAGGTGAAAAGAGATGAAAATATCCTATCGAATGATAAAGAAATTTTTATTCCGGAACATACTCATCAAAGAGATCTCAGAAAAATTGACCGATCACCTGATAAAATATATTGCATAGTTTATTACTACACTTGATTTTTACCATATTTTACAAATTCTGTTTTTACTAACTAAAGTTTATTGTTATTTTTTTTCTTGCTGTTCACAACATTTGATATTGGATTACTTTTGCATCGTATGCTGAATTGAATCAATGGCATGCGTGTATTAATTTAAAGTCAAATAGAAATATTCAAAAAGGTTCTGATAATAACTTATGTCGTAATTCACGTAATTGAGACCGTATAAAATCATAATTTCCGTTTTTTTTCTCTAGCAATATGCTTAATAGTGTCAGAGAGCAATTAGCCTGCATCTTTTTTTTTCTTTTCTTTTTTTTATTCAATAATAAATTGTTACAGTAGAACATTTTCTTTTTCTTTCAATATCAGTGAGTTGTTGAATTTTTTTGCATCATTTAAAGTCATGTTTATTTTTTCTTATAATTTAATCATAATGTTCACTTATTTATTATTAATAAATGGTATAAAAATAAATCAAATTCTAAAAGGACGTGTTACGAATACAACATCTGGTTTTCAATCAAATTGTTCAACATGTATTTGTCAATGTATCAAATTCGGTTTATCATTATCATCATTGTTTTGTTATGTCAACTGTTATACTAACAATGATACTTGTCAAGTAATTATTTCTGCATCAAAATCTAATCTTGGTATCGTTATTGATCAAACAAGTATTATTTACTTTGTTAATTATTCTACTTACACAACAACAACAATTAAACCTTCGACTACAAGTACAAATTATGGAAGTTTACTGATTGCAAATATAGTTACTAACAGTAGTTCTACAAGAACATCATCAATCAGCGTAACATACGCAACTACTATGACTACAACTATAACTCCCTGATTGTTGTTCAATTAGTGACAGACAATTATATCATCTTGATTAACTCATATTGCTATATATATATGTAGAATTTGTATCTTTCGTCATTAGTATGAAAGCTTTTAAAAAGTCAAAAAACTAAATCGATAAGGGTTTTTTTAATTCGAAACTGCAAACATATTATCGAAAATATTATATTGCACAACAATAAATATTAATCAAGAAAATCTCGAAAACCAAGCGATTTTTATCTAGTTAAATATTCAATGTTTTCGATTAGATTCGTTTTGTTAAATATAATAAACTAAAATGTATATCATTCACCGACTGGTTCAAGTTTCACATTTTAAATTCAGATCTTATCTGAAAAAGATTTTCATAGTATTGAATACGATAAACAATTATTTGTCAAGACTCGAGATATGCAGGACTAGTCTTGATCGCCAAAACTCAAATTTATAGTAAAGTATCCTATAAATCATATGAATCGAAATCTAATTCAAGAAGACGAATCAAATAGTGCTAGTCATTGACTAAATAAATCAAACAGACGAATTGTGATGGATTATTTTAGATGTAATACGCACAAATTCTGGAATAGTTTTCTATAGACCAGGATCTGAAAAACTAGTATCATCGAAAACAGGATTAAGACAAATAAGTTTGATTCCACACACCTCTAATCAAGTCAAAGACAAATTTGATAATTAGTCTTTTCCGATCTTGTTCTCAATCTTACACTACTTGTTGAAGGAGTCTTTCTATTGATTAGAAAATCACTATTAAAAAAAAATGCCTTTTACTTATCTATATCATAATTTATTCACCAAACTCTCATATTTTTACTTCGAGATAAACATCTATAATATTTTCTATCATAATCATTAACTCCTAAAAAAAATCAACATAAACAAGCGTTGTATCTACAAAAGAAAATAACTTCAACGAAAGCAAAATAGTAGAAGAACAAATATTTCATAGGTTTCTTCGATCAGTATACAAGACACGATAGACGCCTTTTTTTTCATGGTTCATCATGGTAGCTAGTGATAAATGGGACGAATGGTTTTTAACCCACGTTCTGGCCAAAAAAAAAACTATTTGATTACGATTCTGGTGAAAACTTTTGGTCGTAGTTCTGACAAGACCAAGAGTAACTTGCCCAACTTTACATTTTGTATACTAAACTTGTATAATTTTTGTGTATGTTGTTTCTTTATTAATAGAAATAAAAGTATTATTTAAGATACGTACAGTACAGTATTACCTTGTTCAATAATTTTCGCATAAACTTTTAAGACACATGAGTCATGACAATATGATATTTGACACAAGTTTTACACAACCATAAAAGATATAATTCCAAATGAAAAGTGTTAATCTGTATCTATATCTAATCATATCTCATAATTTCAAGATAAAATTTCGAAATAATAATTAGTTTCTTTTCTTATACAAAAAAAACAAGAAGCTTCTAATTAGACATGCAAGAATAAATTCTTTTGCGTTATTTTTTTTTTGTCTTGAATACGGTTCTTAAATCTTATCTAATTAAATAATTTATGTTTATAAAAAGAAAGAAAAAAAAAAAAAGAAATCAATAATTCATTGATAACAGCATACGTATGCACATCAATTCGATACACACATACAAAAAAGAAAAAACGGTAAACAAAAATCTAAAACATACTATAATTTTTTTTTTCTTAAATTTCTTTTCCATAGAAAATAAAAAAAAAATACATTTATGAACAAATATAATGTTTTAAATTATGTTTTTTGACGTTTTACATTTTCATCAATCGATGCAGTAAGATTATGCAATAAATCTTTTATTTGTTGTTCATCTCTATAAAAAAAAATAAAATTAATTAAAACAAATAAAAAATTTTTTAAAAATCCTACTGTAAATTATCATTAACATCGTCATCATCATCATCATCACGTTTTCGTTTATTATCTTCTACTGGTCTAATAGGTGATATAGCTTCAATAATTGGTCCAATTAATGGACTTGTCATTGGTGATAATGGTGTCGATGGATTACTTGTTTGAATATCAGCTAATAAAAAATCTGTTTGATCATTTTGATATTGTGTTGTTGGTGAATGTCCATCATCAGATTTATTTAAATTCATATCATTATGAGATGAATTAAATGATATAGAACTTCGACGTTGTTTTCGATGACGAAATGCATGATCAATTAATTTTTCTTCACATGTTTCATCTAAACGCCAAAAACTTCCTTTACCAGTATCATTTTCTTTACGAGCAAGTCGAATAAAATAACGATTTAAACTAAGATTATGTCGAATAGAATTCTAATGATAAAAAAAAAAAACAAAATTAGGTTTTTTGTTTTGTTTTTGTTGTATTTTTTTTTTCTTAAAAGAAAAACTTACTTGCCAACCACGATTATTTGCTTCATAATATGGATATTGTGCCGATATAAAATTATATATTTGACTTAAAGTCATTTGTTTATCAGGTGCCGATAAAATAGCTTGAACAATTAGTTGAGCATAGGAAAATGGTGGTTTTGTACTATTTTTTGAATTTATATTCTCATGATCGTGTTGATTATTATCGATTCCAGATGATGGAAGTCGTTGAATTATTGGAGAACTAAAAATATAAATCTTAATTAAATTTAATTATTCAAAAGATTTATTTTTTTTTTTACCTAACTATTGTTTGATTTTCAGTTATGTCATTATTAGGAATTTTTGGACTTGTTGAACATGATGAAATTGCAGAACTAAAATTACAAGAAAATCACAAAAAGAAATATATTTTTTATGTTTTAAATAAGTTTATAAAAAATTAATAAATAAAATTTTACCTTAACAGAGAAGTATTTGATGTTATATTCATAGTTGTTGGATTTTCATATTGTATTTTAATTTGTCCATTATTGCGAGCAGTTGATATTGAATTAATTGAAGATGATGAATTTGGTATGTTAAGATTTATAGGCAAAAGGCTATTATTTGATTCATGATTATTAACTTGATTAACTGTTCGATGTGGATGTTGATTAACTGCAACAAGAATAACTTGTTGCTGCTGCTGTTGCTGTTGTTGTTGCTGTGTAATATTTGGAACAGATTGAAGAAGTAATGATGATGTTGTTGATGGATTATTTGTATCAATTGGAATCGATGATGATGATGATGATGGACGTTGTTGTTGTACTGTTTCTGTTGATACATGACGTGAAACACTTCCAGGTGATGTTCGATTAGTTGTATTGTTATTATTATTTAAATTATTATTATTATTATTATTAATAAATGATGAAAATGAAATACACATATCAGTACTTGGAAAACGAAGTGTACATCTATTAAAGAAAAATATTTTAATAATAATAATAAAACAAAAATAAATTAATAGTCATACTGTTTAGGTAAAAGTGTTATTGAAGACATTTTTGTATAGTTATTATTAATAAAAATACCATTTTTACTACGACATCGTAATTGAAAATCACTACCATTAATAAGTATTAATTCAAAATGTATACGAGAAACAACTGATGTTGAACCTAGAAAAATAATAAATTAATTAAATCCTTATTCATTTATATCAATGAAATTTTTAATACCCATGTTAACATCAACTTCATGTCGGTTAGTTTTTTTTCCAACAATCGTTTTTTCTTGCCAAATATCATAAGTTCCAAAATGAGTGGATTCAAGACGAGCATATGGCGAAGGAACATGATCGTTTCCATTCATATTTGTTGTTACTGTTGTTGTATTCGACATATTGGAAATATTGAGTACAAATTATTTAATAAATACTCAATTTAAAATACTGTTCATAGAATGAAAAAAAAAAAGAAAACAGAGAAAAAAAGACTTTGTCGATTGATAATAGAAATTTGCTGATAAAGAAGAAATATCGACTAATGCCGTTTGTGTAGAACAGTTACTCTACGAGCATGTGTCTGACACATTGGCACGCGAGAAAGAAAAGCTGAAGAATAGAGGTGAGGGGAATAGTGATGCTAGTTGTGAAGCAGTGGCAACCAAACGCTTTCTTCCCGTTCTCTTTTACTCGTAGAAGATTGATCGTCAATATAGTCAGAAGAAGAAAAAAAAAGAAGAAAAGAAAAACGAAGACGACGATGATGATGATGGTGGTAGTGGTGGTGGTGGTACGTCGTAGCCGCGTGTTAAGGAGAACGGTGAGAATGTCGACGATGAAGCATTGCCGACGTTCGATGATGTTGTTGACATACAGCACGTTCTCTATCTCATGACATGTTGATGTTGCATACAGCCGTTCGGTCGTTGTTGTGGAAAAAAAAAGGAAATGAAAGAAAGAAAGAAAGAAAAAGCAAGAGAAGAACGAAGAAAAAAAAATATTTTTTCTTATTCTTTTTTTCTTTGTATGATTCTTTGTCGAACACAGTGTCGAAATCAAACTATATACAGTTAATGGCTAAAAATAATGAAAACAAAAAAAAGAAGAGAAAAAAAAACATCACTTCGATAAATTTTATCGTTTTTTTTCTTTTGTATGATAAGAATACAACAAAAAAGAAAGAAAAAATAAATTAGAAATTTTTCTTGATAGCTAATAAATACAATATTTCGAAAAACTAGTGTTTTTTTCTTAATAGGTGATTTGCATTATTTTACCTAATTGAATCGTTCACCTTTACCCTATTCTATCCTATAGGATAGAGTTGGGTAACGTTGCTTACATTTAGTTCTCGTATTCACCTTTTCTTATATTTAATGTTCTTATTACGCAATGATCTTGCACAATATCTAACAACGTACAATGTACATCTATAGAATACAAAGAATAGAACTCGATGAGCCACGATCCCAATTCAAATAATGTATTGAGACTGAAGCACTACTATTCGGTCGTCTAGTCATCGAAAGTTGGCTAAGATGACCATGAGTCAGGATCAAATCGATACTCGTTACTATTATTCATTTTAGTTTTATCAAACTTTAATTATATCGTTTTTTTCTTACATACGTTTTTCAATCGATTGA